CAGTCAGCAGTGCTGGGGAGTTTGCTGTGTTCGTTGCTTTGCTTTTTCCCCTAGAGTAATACAGAAGCTATTTTTTGTTTACCTTTTTCCTCTTTCTCTTCCGCTTTTCAGATAATGTTCACTTTCAGCAAGCAGCACAGATTTCCAAAGCTCTTGTTGATGCTGAAGTGGATTTTCAGGCAATGGTATGGTTGTTTTGTTTATAATCACAAAAATGGGTTTGTACTATGAGAATAGTCAAAGCTCTCTGTTGTAAGGTTTAAATTAACTGCAGTCTTAAAGTTCACATACTCGTATTTCATTTTCAGTGACTGAAGTTTTAAATATAACCCATCCACGTATCTTCTGTACAAGAAAAAATGTAAAGCAACAAATCATATTTGACCCAGCTTACTTAATCTTTCACCTTGTTATTTCTGTGCTGTCAGACAAACAGCCAAAACCAATCTTTGCATATACCCAAAGTCCAGTGAATAGTATGTTAGAGATAGATAGCTGAAGTTAACCCTTCCTTGTATCCTGAAGTCCAAGATGATCTGTCCAGGTTATCTTCCTACCCAGAGGTAATGTTTGGTTTTTCTCTGTTGAACTTGTAAGATAAGTAGTTATTTGCCCCTTCTTACTCTGTACATGAAAACTCACAGACTAAGCTGCAAGCTCTTCCTTTCCTCCCTTCTCCCAGCTCATGGGGAGCAGTGCTGAAAAGGATGAAATACAGAAGGAAGTGCACCAGTGCATGGTTGTCATTCAGACAAATACACAGGCCTTACAGGCTCAAGTGACCAGGTGCTGTTTTAAACTGTAGAGCTGTGTCTACCCTCCCTCTGGACAAGCCACATACTTATTTCATACTTTTAGGACAAATAGATGGTGCATCCCACAAGCAAAGCAGGGATTGAAGTATCATGCCTCCATGCTGGGCTAATTTTAAAGGGCTGCACATGTTTTTATGTCTATCTGTCTTGTCTGGTTTAGATGTAGCTAGAACTAACATTCTCTGTATTTTTCTTTCCCGCAGTGGTACACCGACAAAGACCATTCCATCAGTGGTCAAGCACATAAGCATATTTATACCCACATGAGCCACTTCATAAAGCAGTGTTTCTCACTGCCCTAGCACCAGCAGGTGATGGTACTTCCCTTGAATACACTGAGCCAGTATGAATTGAGATAAGGATCAGCTCTTGGGATACCTGTGTACACAATGAAATCCTAATCTTTATAGTGATTGATTGCTTTTGTCATGCAGCTACTGCATTTTTATTGATTATGTTTAATCAGGTCTTATCACCAGAATGTAGGTATGTTGCAGACTTCCGGAAAGCACAGTACTTGCTTGAATCAGTACCTTCTGCTATTTCAGCGTAAAACAGAAACAGTCCAGTTTCTGTAGTAGGGTAATAAATGATGAAAATGTCACAGAGGAGCCAACATGGAGATCAGCTGAAGAACAAATATAATAACGTTTCCCACAAAAAATAAAATTAACCCTGTGATCATTTCTGTGAAAGTACTGATAAAATTTTAACCAGATTTTGCAGAAGTTACCTAATGCTTGATCAATTATTATTTTAGAAATAGTAGCAGGAATACTGCAGTGTTAATATGCATTAATATGTTAATATTCTCGATGCAGAATGAAACACTTTGCAGAAAAATACTGACTTGTTTACTGCAGTTCCTTAAGTAAATAATCTCTTGTACAATTGTAGAAGCCTTGCAAGGAAGGCATGTAAGCGGCTTTCTCCAAAGTTTTTGAATGATAACCTGTTCAAACCACTGTCACTGGATTTCTTTGTTTCCTATCATAGTACTGTGAGTTTTGCTTACTTTATAGTCAAAAAGGCTGCTACTGTGGAAATCTGCACTTGTAAACTCTTATCTGGGAACTCCAGGCCCCCACCATTGTTTCTCTGTGGGACAGAAAATCGGTTTGTTAGTTGGTTGGTTGGTGGGTTTTATTTCCAAGTTTCCCATTTACTGATGAAAGGACACATTCCTTGCACTCAAAACATAAAACATTACAATGAAAAGTAGCAGTCACTTCCAGCAAAGGCTGGACTTTTATGTAACTAACCCTCACATGAACGTGCTGCTTAGCAAACCTCCTTTTCTTTGTAGCCTACCAGTAAACATCTGCTTTATGTTTAGCATTCCAGGTAGACTTCTTCAGCTGATGATTACTTTTCTTACTTTCATATAGAAAAGATACAACCCACATGTACTATAAACTGTGCTGCTTTTAAATAAAAAAAAGATACTCGGTTATGAATGGGCGGTGTAGTCTGTATCATTGAAAATGCTGCTCAAGAAATTAACTCTTAGAATTAAAAAAAAAAAATTGCTGTTAATGTTGAGAGAATAACAGTGAAACTTCTGCTTTTGTTTAATAGTATCATGTAATGGAGGGTGACATTATCTGACATGAATCTTCTTGTTAGTAGATGCCAGCATGCAATCAGGTATGTATTGTGGGTAATTAGGGACACTAGGTTTGTATGTAAAAGTACACAGATAAATGTAAATGCACACAGATAAAGCACAAGGGAGGTGGGGAAGAATGTCAAGACAGTTCATGCAGCTTGTCCTTAAATGAGAAAAAGAAGGGGTTCATAAACAAACCAAAACCTTAACTCACAAAATAAAGAAGTTTTCTGGGGAAAAACAAACTGGAGATGGGAATTACAAACATAATCTTGGGCTCACAGTACTAGTCATTCTAATGCAGACTGGCATCACTGTTAAAGCAAGCTCTAGAAGTAGGATGAAGGCTGTCAGTTGTCTCCAAGAGGTTATAGTAACCTCATCTCTGATTCTTTTAACTGAAGGGAAAGAAACATAGATCAGTATGAAGACAGATCACAGCAATGCAGACAGGCTATAAAAAAGATGATCATTATGAACTTCTGGATCACTTGTGAAGCAAGGGGCAATAGTGTCATATAGACCAAAAACAGTATTTCTGTAATCCAACAACTACATTAACTAGGCTCTTGTACTTAAAGAACTACACGTATTCCCTTACTGTAACCTCTGTCAAGTACGCACAGCAAGTCACCACTGTTGGCTTGTTTCATGTTTCAGTGACATTCCACTGAGCAGGACTGCGCTCTAGAGTGAAGCACATTTGAGTGTCAGGTAGACCTTTAAAATACTATACCATATTACACAGTTTTTCTGGGGTTTGCAGTGTGAAAATAAAATTGAAAATTAGTTAGGATAAATATTTATTTTCACATAACTCTTGTGAAAAACACAACAGTCTATTCACATGTACACATAAACTTTTGTAATAAATTACATCCAAGAAATAGAGTAATTTTGACCAGGAATATTAAATTAGAAGTAAATACAGCACTACATTTGCTTTATATTGTGTGTGATTTCAGAATGTTAAGATTAACATTGGAATAGCATTTAAATTCACACAAGAACAGAGTGCTTTAAAATAAAACCACTCTGAAATACTGAACAGAAATACAGAATGCCATAGAATACACTGATTCCTTAATATTCTAAGAGTTGGTCAAGTGAAACCAATACATTTTGATTGTATACGTTATCTGTAACAAAGTCAGCAACATATTAAAACACCACCAGGCTGCTCTCGGGACAAACCAGTATTGAACTTCTATACTAATCTTAAAACAATTGGAATCTTACAGTTTATCAAGTACACAAAACAAAGCATTTTAGCTTAATGCATCAGCTTTTTTTTTTTCTAAATTTACAAATACAAACATTGAATTAAATGTAAATCCTTCTTTGTGTCCGTTATATATTTTTTTTTCCTCCATAAAAATGGCTTTTAATGGGCTTTGATAATGCAAAGTCAAATTCAGAACAGCAACCCTATTAGTTTGCAGCAAAATGCAATTATCATTTATGGCTACAGTAGTAAAACATCACACACTCTCACACGCACAGAAACATTAGAAGGAATAATTAAAATGTGATGCATCTGAAATGTTGTTTGCATGAGATCTGTGGAAAGATTATCGTATTTTAGAAGTAGATGAATTGTTACAAAGATTACAAGACTAATTCTTATTGATAGGATTCAAAGTAATAGCATAATAACGAGAGTTATTTTTCATTTCATAATTTAAAAACTTACCTTAAAAAAAATTAAAAATCAGTGAATTCCAAATTACTCAATAAAACTGTTTCTCCACATCTCTGTGAATTCAATACCTAATCTCACAGTCCTTGTTTTACACAAAAGAATGGCGTGAAGGATCAGGCAATAACAAAATCCATTATGAAAAATGTCTTTGCAATGGCTTTAAAGCCACAATTTACTTTGTAAAGTTGTTTTTATCTTTTAATCAATGAGCTTGATGGAATAGTGAAGAACTGTAACAAAATCAACATCAGCGTATTAAGTATTATACACTATTAGTCTTTGAAATTAAGAGGTTTACAACTGTTGGTAGAGAGGCCAATATAAATATGCCCTTTATGTGGCTGTATTTTAGGCAATGAAGAAGAAAAACATTGGGCAGGTAATATAACTGCATGTGGGATATAGCTTGTATCTACAAATTTTTCCTTATTATAAAATAATAGATTGATTATTGACATAATGTAGTTGTTTGGTCAACCATGGCAACATTCATACAATACAAGATAAGATACTGTAATCACAGATTGCATATTAAGAAGTACTGTACCCATGTTTCACATCAAAGGATGTGGTGGAGTTTTTCAACTAAGGTAAGAGAATGTTCTAGTACATATTTTTAAATATATATGATTATGTTCCAGCTACATACAAATTTGAATATTAAATACACTGTATTAAATCAAGGAAAATTTCACAAATACAGAATCTAACCCTGCAATCCTCATTGCAAGAGTAATCCATGACTTCAGAAGGACAGCTTGAGGAGGAAAGGATTATCCTTGTTAGTTTGTTCACAGGGTCAGATCAGTTGTTACTTTAAAAACTTCTTTAATGTTTGCTGTCAGTTTGGCTTTCCTGAAATCATTTACGTGAGTTAGGTGGTTTTTAATCTTGAATGAAGATCAGTAAGTATTCTCACACAGAAAAAGTAGTAAAATACAGTACAAACCTATTACCAGGAAAGTTGAATTTGAAAGAAAATTTGCTTGTTAGATTTCTGGTACAAACACTGATAAACGGCCAGTATCAGCAAAGAACATAAAGATTTTTTTGCATTGGCTACTGCAGACGTTTACACAGATACTAGATGATACAGATATGTAGACAAGGTGAAATGAGACAAATATTGCACTACATTACCTGTGCTAGTTTGAGATGAAAGACAAAAGTTACACGGTAAATCATATCTATTTAGTGGTTGTGGCACTCCTTTCATTCATTTGTAAAAAAATTAGTTGAAGAACAAGTCATAGACAAGTCTCCCGGTCAACACCTTTCCCTGAGTCAGCTTTCTTCTCTTTTCTGATTTCAGCACTAGGAAAAGAAGAGGAAAAAAAAAGAGTTACAGTAGCACTACTGTGTATATTAACGATGTACCTGAAAACCAACACTGCACTGATATTTTCATTAATCTTTCTTTCATGCTGCATAGCACAAACTGGGAAGCAAGTGAAAGTTTGTGCCGAATGGTGCAGAAGACATCAGCCAGCATTTTAGTGATGAGATAGATAGAGAACTTAAGATGTACAGACAGACGTCAGCCAGCATGCAAGCAAAGGCAGCCACTTCTTTATTATTTCTTTTTTGGCAAATACAACTGTTAATTGATTAGATGATGGCAATGGTACAGTTCTCAGACAACACTGGCATTTTCTTAATGGCACAAACAAGAGGTCACAAGTACTTCTTGTCTTCAAAATGTATTCTGTTGCTCAATGTAAATTTAGAAGGAATGTCTCTGAACTATAGCAGTGCAAGCCAATTTTCAGCTGTAGTATTGGCAGGAAAAAGCATGGGGGCTGGGGACTGACAATATTCCCCGTTTTGACCCGTAAAGCCTGAAAGATTTTACAAAAACCGTATCAATAAGAACTCTGAAGCAGAGTTCAGATTTGGATTCAGCTTCCTTCCAGTTATGACACTGTTGATTTGCCTAGAGAAACCAATATATGTGCAAAGCAGATGATATTGTTTTGGTGAAGAAGTTCTTAATTTAAAACAGCATAAATAAAAAACCACGTTCTTGCAATGAGTTTCAGTCACACTAGGAAAATGCAAAGAGGCTCTCATGACATGGGCAAATCAAGCCTTTAACAAAGAGTGGCAGGGTATCTAAAAAAAGAAAAAAGATGGTTCTGAGAACAAACCTGTATCAAGCACATAACCTACCAGGTTTCATGGGAATAATTCCTTAACTAGAATGAATGAGAAATAGGCTGTTACACAAGGCTTAAAAAAAGCAAGATCAATTCTCAAATTCTTAAGGTGATTCATGCACAATTTTACAATCATCTGACATTTTTCTTCACATAAAAATTGCTTTAAGGATACAATTCAGTTCAGCCAAAGCTTACTTCTATGCCTATGGCAGCTTCCAGAGGTGTTAATGGAAATAGCTAAAGAATACCAACTTCTGCCACCTCAACTGCCAAATCTATCACCTTCTGTAGAACAGTGATAGAATTGGGTATGTTACACTTTCTGCACACAAAGGGTATGCAAACAAATTCCTGGGGGGTGAATTTAAAGTACAGCAGTACAGCAGGCTGAGAGTTACCTGTGCTTAGTAAAAGCAAACAGTGAAGATGTGTTGTTGCCTTACAGTCTTAAAATATTCCGGTGGTTTAGGGGCCTCCATGATACCAAGAAAGTCTTCCATCTATTTAGGATTCACATCCCTGAGAATCACCTGCAGATGTGGGCTTCAGTGTCATGAGAAATTGGAAACTAAAAAAGGACAAGTCCAACATTTTACCAGTAAAACAGATTACTGCCAGATCTGTAAGAGACTTGGCATTCTACTCCTCCCTACCGAGGGAGTAGTCTATCAAGCCTGAGATGGAGGGTTTGGGAAGACGGATTTGCATCCTGCATCTTCTGTATCATCTCTATCTTCAGGTAGAGAAGGGGACTCACACAGTCTACAAAGTGATAGACTTCTCCAGTACCCTTCCTTCTATACATGGTCAAATCTTCTGCAAGTATTTTGACACTGCTGTCTGAAGGGCTTAATATTATAAGCAAAGACAGAGGAATAATTAATTATATGTACCAAAGAGTGCTGTGTTTCAGATAGGTGCCTAGGTGTTCAGTTTTACCAAGACATGCTCAAAAGGAGAGACCTGTAGGGCCATAGGAGTTATAATAGTGAAAAATTAAGGTGGGAAAATTGTAAAGTATAGTTAAACAACAGTTGGTTAAAATTAGACAAATGGTGCTGTGAGTCTGGGATGTAACTGTCACACAACTGTACTGCTACGCAGATGGTATGATAGGTATTATCCATGCATCAGGCTGAGAAGTCATCTGTGTAAACCCTTCGTGCTTGAAATCTCTTTGAAGATGATCTTAGTTGATTATTGGCCAGTCTTTCATTAGCTATGTCAACTCAATATTTAATTAGTACGAAGAATTTCCAGATCTTACAAATTCCAGAAATCACCCTATGCTGTTAATTGATCAGTGCCTTACGTAAAAGCATCATACAGAATCATAATTTAATTATCCCCATTTAGTAGTATGTTGGGATATTAGTGTAAGCAAGCAGACCTGACAAGAGGAAAAAGAGTATTAAAACACTGCTGTAGCTGAACTTCAAAAGGCATCAATAAAATTAGTCAGAAAACAACATGATTTTTTTGCCCCCTATGGTAAGATACCCTTCACCAAAGGGAATTGTGTAATGCAAAATTGATCAGTTTGATCATTTGCAAAAATTATCCTTATAACTGCCACCATTCCAAGCTTTCTTTTTCTCAGTACTTACCTAGGATTGAATTATATCTTCATGTAGTGATACATTTATTTAGGAATATAATGTTTCTTTAGCTATGTCTCTAGTAAGATTTAAGATTAATGTGTTACGGTTTTGCCTATCAGAGGTTTAAAGTTCTTTGAATCTACTTCTGTCTGAGAATCTGAGACAAGCTAGAGCACGTGAAAAAGCAGGTTTCAGATTCTTTAAGAAGTTGCTCCTTTACAACAGGACACTCATACCTAAAACCATCAAACTGTTCCTTTCCACCTAAGACTTTGCTTTCACAGCCAAAGATAAAAGAACAGATTGAAAATGAGCTCATTAGAAAATTAGTTACTATTTTACTGCAGTGGAAAGGCCAAATCTTATTTTGCCAATACTGTCTCAGCCACAGTCTTACGTAGATGCTCTTTGCTCAAAGGATCTTTGAATATTTCAGCTAAAACCAGTACATGTTTACATAATCTATCATACCATCAAGGAAAACAATAGGAACTGGAGAAAAATAGAACTACTGCATACCCAGTGGCTGTGAATGCACCACATCAGTTTCTTCTCTTTCTCCAGGCTTTCACAGCCTGGACAGAGAAGCATATAATGTAAGAAGACCCTACTGTACATTCTTCTCCCATGCACCACATGGATTTCACTGTGACATGGTTCTTTTCAGCTGAGGGTGGAAAGCAAATCAGAACTACAGTGCTATTTTGGCTGTCAGTGAAACAGAATTAAAATGATCACATTAATCAGCTGCTCCATGGGTGTCTGAAATGATTTATCTGGTCATCAGCTGATCATTTTGTTTATGCTATTTACGGGTAGGAACAACACTGAAAGGCAGCATGCCATTTTGGGGCAATAACATTTTAAACAATTTATTTTCCTACAGGATTTTTTCTCTTACTGCATGTTTTCACCACAGAACAATGAGTAGCTGTTTCAAACATGGCACTTGTTTTGAAAACTAGCTTTAGAAAGGGGCAGAATATAACTTTATATTTTGAAATATTTAAGAGTTCTAAGAATTAATTCCATTTAATATTTAAATATACTACATCTACAGCTTCTATCTTTAATACAAAATAAATTTTAGATTGTAATATTAAGGACTTTAATGAATATATTTTACATTCCTATTCGAAATTTTTCATTCTCTCTCCCCAAAAACTACAGAAAGTCAAGTCATTTGGGTTCCTAGGTGAAGTTTGAATTCAAAGATACAATCAAGGAAAAGGTTGGGAGATAAGGTCTTACCTTTGGGGAATCAGCTTCTAGAGTAATTAGGAAGGGGAGCTTATGACAAAATGTGGTGTGAAACAAGTAGAAATAGATAAATTTAAAATCTACGAAGAGGAAAATTTATCTTAGGATCCTACTGTGCTTGTGTTTACTATTATTCACATAACACCTATAGCGCAGACAGAACATCAGTGCTTCATTTTATATTTGTCTCAACTAAAATTTAAATGTATTTAACTGTTTCGAGTACAAGGCAAGAAGGCAAAAGAAATTAAAGGAAGTAATGCAATCTTGAAAGTATTTTCACTGCAAATATTAGTCGATTGCATTCAGAGTACTCAGTCCTTCATATAAATATTTCCAGGGCAGTGATGACCACTTATTTTTCAAGAGGAAAGAACAAAAGCAAGCAGAACACACAACAGCTGTTGTGCAATATCCAGGTGTAGGCTGGTGGTTCATCACACAAGCATCACTCATGCTCAACTTCATTTTTCACTGTAGCATAACTAAGTAGCATGCAAATACTTGTGGTTTGGGGTTTTTTTTAAATAAATAGTGCATTTGTGGGTTTTTGAGCTCAGAATATTATGACTGGATGTAAATACAAAGAAGCCTCAAGAAAGGCTTCTGCAAGCCGCTAGAAATCTTTCTAATCCCTAGCACAATATTCACAATATTCTGATATTGGTTTGACACCAACACATAAAGTACAATGAAGTAAAAAAATATTAAAACCTTTTAGAAGGAAAGCTTGACTCCTTATCTTTTGCATTCTCTGAGGATATCAACAATGTCTTCCACACAGCAGTTTTTGCCATTTCATCCGAAATGTTTATCACAGATGGGTCATCTCTAGGCAAGAATTAAACACAATAAAACAATGAGCAATCAGTCTTTGTTACTTATTAACTATAAAAGTCCTTGAAAATTGATAGTGATGACAGTAAGTGCAATGTAAGTTAACAAATTATGTTTAACTTAAAAAATCCTGAACAATGACTTAAAAATTCTCTTAAAACAGCTTCTCACTTTTGAGTATTTTCCTCCTCCAACAGCAATTAATCACAGTAATGTCAAGAAAGTATATTGTGTAACTTACAAATAATGGAGAAAAATGAGGAACTGTAAAATTAAATATTGCCCAAGATACCTCAGCATGCAGTGGCATAGATGGATTAAACAAGAATCCTAAGAGCTCCTATAACAGTTCTCAAAGTACTTATGCTCTGAAACTCCATCTGCTTTTAAAACAATTTTAAAAGCAATCAAAAATCTTGACTGCTCCAAATACATATTTAAACACTTAAGAATAATAGTCTCTTAAATGTTTAGAGGGCCTGCTTGTCCTGACTTCACAGTTTATATATGGCTTGACACTTAGTAAGCCCTCAGTAAACTTGTTTGCATAGGGTTTTGGGGAACCACTTTATTAACCAGTATCTTGACTTCCTTTTAGCTGTAGGACTGTGACCCTGACAGTAGAGAAAGTCAGGTATTACCCAGGCAACTCTATCAAAATAAACTACAGCTCAATATAGATCACACCTCAAAATAAATTAAGCTAACCACTGCTAATATAAAGTAGAACACAAAGGTATGGACAAAAGAAAAAAAAAAAACAGACCATTTAGGGTGGTGTGATGAATCAAAAGTGAGAAATAGACTGGGATTTTTCAGAGACACAGACTGCTATTGCCTTATGAGACATTAGGGTCACTTTGTGTTAAAATGTAACAGAAAAAGCCACTCTTGAGACTGTTTCTATAAACTCTCATTAATGCAGAGGTTACTATCACCAGATATTTCAAATCTTTATTAAGAACTTTCTGAAAATGAGAGTAAGTCCTTATGGGCTGGCCCTGTGTATTATTACTAGCTATAACATGGGTGCTCATGGTTTTTAAGTTGTGTCAACCCCACATTATGCTTTATCTACCCTGACAGCTCTTGATTCACTTATTATCTCAAATGGATAGGGTCTTAATTAGAATGTTTTATAATGTAATGCTGTAAGAACCTAGCTTTTCTGGGGTGTTTTCAAAACTTCTGGCTCCCTGCTAGCATCAGACTGAATGGTTTGACCTGCTCTACATCTTCCTTCCCTGCCGTGCGCATCAGAAAGCTTGTTATGAATGGCCTGATCCTGCAGTCCTGCCCAAGGGAAAACTTCACCCAATGTGGCCTTTTCTTAGGGACCACGAGATCACGTGGAAAGACTAAAAAAGGGCTGAGATTGTTGAATGCTGAAGTATATGGTTCAGTTCAGCTAACTGTACTCTACTACCAGACAAACACCCTCCTAACATTTAGTAAGCATTAAGAATAAATATTGTGGCATGTTTATTTGATTTGTTTAATTGCAACTCACCTAAAAGAGGAAAGGTATATTTTACCTGTAATGTCCTTCCAGTGGTAACTGAACAGTTCCTTCCTCTTCCATTGCTAGCATACTTTGCTCTTCCTAAAAGGAAGGAATTTAGATATGAGACACGATATGATGATGTGAAATTTATGTACTTTAATCCTCTTTCCATTTTTCTTTAAGTATTTATTTGAACTTCTTAAAATAACATACTTTTCAACTTTCTTAATGTACATATTTGATATTTAAAACCTCTTCTATTTTAAAGTATGTGTCTTCACCTAATGTTATTTTCCAATGCCAAATAGAGGAGACACTTTTGTAACAAGAAAGAAAGAGAAAGCAACACTGAGTGAGCAACAGTATGGCAAATTTTAAATACCATGCATAACAGGATATATGCATTGTAATGCTAACATGCAAAAAAATAGCTAAGTCAAGATTAAGGCTGCACACACAGTTTTAATATTAACGAAGTCTTATTGCAGTGAAAGGTAGTGAAACAAGACACCAAAAATCAGTTTTCACATGAAGGGAAGAAACTTCTCTGAGTAACAGGAAGTGAAGACCCCTCTACCAACAATCCTTTTGTGAAATAATCACAAATTTAGAAAATCTGTCTTAGGAGGAGAACAAAGCAACACCCCTCAAACACCACGTCCTGCCTGCAAGAATACAGGAAAAGAGTCTGTTGCTCTGACATCAGCACAAAGCTCCAGGAGGAGGATCCTCAAGGTTCACACTTCTGTTAGGTCAGGAAAACCGCAGCCAGAAGCCTTCACATGAATGTAATAGTCAAATCCTGCCCTAAACTGTTGCAATGTGTATGTGTATGTACACGCTATGAGCATAACAAGACGCCCAGAGACCTCCACATCTTTTTCTCCCGTTATACGGCTTTGTAACAGTTTACCCTGGTGCCTGTCTGAAAGTGTGAGTAGGCTCTCCCAAAAAGAGAGCTTACCATTTCCTGGCAGATCACCCAAAACCCCACATGCATCACACACACTGAAAAGCTGGTATTAGTTGGAAGAGCCAGTTATCCAAAATAGTAGAATTTAAGTCCTCTATGCATAGATTATTTTTTCCCTTCTAAGTTTTACTATTACAGCTATTTTATAAATCACAATACACTTTTTCTCCAAATGGGAGAAGCCACTTTGTTCATTCCTGGCTTGAAAAGACTTAATTGGTTAACATCAAAGTGGCTTCCAAATGAGGTCTGTGAGGAGAAGGCATGTATAATATCCACTATAAATCTAAAGCCTTGAAAAAACATGGCCTAAAAATATAAAAACAACTTAAGTGATGAAATGAGGATCCAATCAAATAAGTTTCAGATCTTGTCAACTATATTTCTGAATATTCTTGTGGGTAGAATACTTCTATTTTTAAAAGCCGTGTGATAGCAACTCTCCAATTAATTCCTTAGGCTACATGTCAGAAGTTTTATTACTAGTTAATTTGTCATTTCCAGGCTTCACAGCTTCCTAAGTTTTTGACAGTTGAACAGTTTTAATAATAGCTCCAAATATTTAGAAATGCCAAAATATGTAAAAATAACCTCTCAAAATAGACAGTGAATGAAATAAAGTAACACCAGTATACTTCCCCAGGTTTGTTTTCTGATGCCATCCTATCAAGCATGGGAAGAAAAGTGACATATAACCAAAACGTAAGGATAACAAAGAATTAGTTCCAGTAACTAGAGCCACAAGAAAAGAGCTACTACCTAGGTTACTTCTGGTTACTCTGAATTGTGATGACAACAGATGCTGTGATGAAACAACTCTCTTCAATTCAAGGGGGAACACAATGACTCACATATTTTAATTGCAGATGGTAGTTTTACAGGCACATACTAAATAGTAAATAGTCATCATGATGTTTATCACCTTGGTAAAACGTTTACCCCAAAACGTATTCTATGAAACTAGGAAGTTTAATGTGTCAAGGAAAGCGAAGTTACTGTTCTCCAGCTTAAAGATAAGGCAGTGAGTTATCAAAGGTCTCAGAGGAATTGTAGAGGCAGAGAAATCTAGTTTTCATAGTTACTTGTTCAAATTATTAGTTCATGACCTATTTCTGCAAATAGACTTACCAATGGGGATCTTTACACACACCAATTCACGACTCTTGGATCACATCTCAGGGTATCCCTAAGGATAAATTGCTGATCTATCCATTCACATTGTTTAGTTTTTGCAGTACCATTGTACCACCAAAAGATTAAGTCTCACAGGTCTTTAGGGCACCTTAGAGGTCATGTGCACAACTGTCCCCAGCGCACTCCCACCTAGAAGTGACCACAGCCTGGCAACACCACATGCCATTACCTACACCTTCACTTCCCACTGTCACCTCAGCCTCACACCATGCTACCATTTAAAAGTGCTGATGCAGAATACACGACTCCCATTTAAAATAGCCTGGCACCAACATATTCTACCTACTGCTCCTGCACTTAGTGATTTGAGCCTCATTTCTTTGGGCCCGATACTGACGTTCCCTAACCGTTGACACTGATCAGGTGGCTGATAACCAGGGACAAAGGATGAAGACCTCCATCCTTTGCACATAAAGTTACTTAATATTCCCACAGTTTTATGAGATATTCAAACAAGCAATTCACAAAGCAGCAACTAGATGAAAATACTATCAAACTGATGAAAAACTGGTTAGAAGGCTATAGTCAGAAAAAAGTGTTTCACTGTCAAAACACAGGAACATTCTGAGTAGAAATGTGTAATAATCTGTCCTGTATTAAGTTTATAAGAAATGATTTTAAATGCATATTCTTTGAAAGAAGACAAGGAGTACAGATCTGAAACAGTCAACAGTGCCCCAGGCATCTGAGGACTTTCCTACAAGTTCACGCCTGCACTTCATCTAAGCAGATCTCAGAAGCAATCCCCAGGAACACTGTAGATACTATGTTATATGATAGTACGGTAGCATAAGAATCTACACCTATTAGACATCCCCACCTAAATGGGATTAGACCTAATCTAATTAGATTTGCAACCTTAGAAGGACTTCTGTAAAACAGTACAATATTACACTTTGGATAATATTAACAAGTTTGCCTGTTGCATGGAATATGCCTTATTTACAGAATTTTCCCTAAATTTCTTTTTAATGAAGGAGAAACACCAAAAGAAACCCTGAAACCATGACCCACCTCTTTCTCAGCATCTTCCAGTTTCTTTTTCTTGCTCTCAGGCATCAAATCATCTAACCAGCTGAGCTCCCGCTTAGTAAAAAAGAAATCCATGAGTTTTCGGACAAACACCAAAGCTAGGACCTGTAAAGATATTAATTCAAACAATTAAGAAATTAAGCAAGTAAACCTGACAAATATGCTTGTAGAGAAATACTTTCAAAAATGATCACAGTTTACAGCTAGAATTTCATCCTTTAATTTGGACAGGCCAACCGCTGGTTGCCCTTTGTTCAGAGGAAGTCTGACTTGAAACATTTAGCAATCACTGAGGTCAGAGATACTTCTTGTTTTGAATTAGTGAGATAATCAGAGAGATCTATTAAGCAGCAGAATAGATTTTTATTGCCAGCAAGACACAGAACTATCGGTAAAATTCCTCAGTGCAATGAACAAGCTCCTTAATGGGTGAATGTTCTTTTCTTTTTTTTTCCAAGAGAAGAATTCTCCCTAAGAGAATACACACTTGGGCTATCCCCACACGCAAACAGAGTGCAACCCAGAATCAAACAAGAGGTAATGTGTAAAATGTTTCCTTAATACAGTATGAACTGTTCTTGAACACTGAGGCAAAGCAATTTTGTGATTACCTGCCCACAATTAATGTTTTTCTTCAGTAATAAATATCCACAAGTAAAATAAAAGTCATTTTTAGAAGAATTAAAAGGCATTTCATACCATCATAGGGAAGACAATGGCAGCTCTTGAAACCTTTATAATCCACAGAAGCACAAGACAACTCAGCTGAATTATGGTGAAGAGATGGACCTTTCTAAGAGGAACATGCCTCAGATAAATAAAATCTGGCTGGTGCTTTGCAGGCATCCAGAACAACTTTATCCTGTCAAAAAGCTGAAAGATAAAGTTTTTAAAGTTTGCATCTAAATGAGCTGTAGGATCACCTATGCTGACATTCACACACTGACTGAATATCCTTCATTTCTGGCTTATTCTAAAGGCAAAAGCTGTGCAGAAATTTCGGTGCACATGAGCCATGAATCTATACTAGTCAAAAGTACACAGCAGTAAAGGACTCATCTTCTTTCCAGCTGAGCCATAAGAGTAAGAATTTAGTCAGTTATATTTCTTAAGTTCCTTTCAATTTCAATACACATTTGCCTCCTTACATATTTCTATGTGCTTAGATACTGGATTCCACTGAATTACATTGCATAGTCATATGCTAAGAAACATCCTGCTCATAACTATATAATACGTTATACACAAAGAAAACAGTTACTTTAAAATAATACTGCTAAGATTTCAAGTCAAGAATTGTTCAAGTTAGGCAAAGCCAGACTTCAGAGTAGACATGAATCAATTATGATTCAAACTGAATGGAAGCTCATTGGTCCTGTTGGGCAAACCCACTATTACACCATCTTTCTAATACATTCTAAATCTTGTTTTTTCAACAACTAAGCTCTGTTTTCTTTAGCACACAAAAAGCTGATCATGAAGGGATCTCTTCAGTCTTCTAGCTCCTGTGTGTACTTCAGCAGACACTTTATCCCAGGCTGTTCCCTGTTATACTTTGTTCACAAAACCAGGAACAAAAAAAATATACCCAAACGAACCAACCAACCAACCAAAGGAATGCCAGACAGCCAACTGTCATGCTGTTAGGAATGTACATGAGAGGTTATTGTTTTTCAGACCTATTTGATTCCTCACTGATCCAGGACTTTGTGTCACCTGCTATGGCACAGCGAAGATGGTAATGCACCGTTTCTCCTTGCATGGATGAGCTATGCTACATTCAAACAGCCTTCAGGAATTTCATGTTTCAGGAATTTTTACTGAGCATGTGCAAAATGCGGTTTTTTTTAAAGCAGATAATTTGGCCAGATTTGAGCAGATTTCTTTTTCACAGAAACAGCAAAAAGCACATCCTCCCACAAAAAAACATCAAATCTCCATTCCTTGTCCCAGCTTGCGGGAGAGAGGAAGGAAGGGAGATGCTATCACTTTTCCGAGTAAAGGGAGCCAGATTTTAGCATGCCTGAAAACAACTCCTCAATGGAGTACTTTCTCCTACCCTTGTTCTGAGAAACAGCTGAACCATATTAAGCTTAAATTATCTAAACCTTAGTAAAAAACAAACTACACTCCTTAGAATATCAACCCACATGGTAAAGAGCTAGGAAAAGTTATTAAAAAAAGTCCCTGAACAGAAAAACACTAATCAAAAACTAAGAGATGTTCCCAGCTTTGCCTATAAATAATAGGTAAAAAAAAGGCAAGACATTTTTAACTCTCAGTAAAGAATTTAAATATAATGAAAGAAACAATCGGGCATTTTCTTTGCTCTTTGTATTTGACAGCCTTTTGTACAGTACAAGTCATGTTTCCATCATGTGATTGTTCTTTCTCTGTCATCTTGGGAAATGTACACTTCCTCAACTTTCAACAAAAGCACAACTGAAAATTTGAGTATGTCAGGCTAAAAGATTTGACAACCATGCCATTTAACACTGCAGTCATCCAGGAGAAATGGCACACAGGGTACCACGACCAACCCTGACCGGAAAGCTGGAGTGCCTGGTTTTGGTCAGGGACTCCTACTTAAGGCCACTGCAGGAATGCTGCCCTTCCACTACACTTGTCCTTCATCCCTGAAGCCAGAAATTAAGTAGCACAGAACTTGCAAGAGTTCCACTTACCATGGGACTTGCAATAGTTCCATTTTCCTGCCTTTGCCCTTTATTTGCGTAGGAAATACCTTCAAAATGTCACCTGTGTTAGTTTGAGGGCAACTCAGCCAAAAGCCTCCTAAAGGCAAAGTTCAAGATCAAGTGTACCACTACAAAGACACCAACTTGGAAACTGAAAAGGCAGCAGGCAAGAGTGAACAGGGAGGCAGGGGAGAGGGAAGAGCTCCTGATTGTTATCACTCAGTTTTTAGGCTCAGCCAAATACCCTTGATAACAAGGGAGGGCAGAAAAATCAGCACCTAAAAAATAAAAAATTGGAGCACACTGCCTAAAGGGAATACTCTATTTAGAGAGAATCCATTTTCTCTTTTAAGTGAGTCACTTTCAAGAATTTAAGGTTGGCAATATTCCTTTAAGAGTATACACAAAAGATAATAAAATAATGTGATAACTACACATTTTATAGCAAGCATCATCAATAACACAGTCTTCATAAATCCATTTTACCTGAATTCCCTTTAGAGATGAAGCACCCATGTAAAGAAATACTCCATAAAGTACCGGCATAGGAATAAACTGCGCAAACAAGCAGAGAAAAGTAAGAGCATATTAAATACCATTTATCAATTTGAAATGCTTCTAGAAAGACATTCTAAACAGTTGAAATTCAAAGCGCCATATGCCTGCATTAATCAGACAAGTTGTAAATTCAGAGTCACTCAATTACAAATTAATAATGCTTCTCAGCATAAAGCAAAAGAGGAATCTGGCTCTATTGTTTTGTTTTCCCTTCACAGCCAGTTATTACAAAATACTTTATTCACTATTAGAAAAATTAACAGAACTCTGTGCAAAAAATAAAGTGTTTGACGGACAAATTCTTTACTTAAAAGACTGCGCAGCAGAGTATCTAAATAAAAAGTAAAGCTATAATCCTCAGAAAAATCTTCAAGACATACACAAAATACTTCATAGTGCTAAAAGAAATGTTCTGTGCTGTAAGCATTTAAACATGGGTAAATGACTTAAGGAATGGTTTTGTGAAAGGCTATTTTAAATGTTCAGCCTCCTAGTGTAGAGTGTGTAGGTAAAGGAATATTTCCACAGATAAGTATCTGCTTTAAATACTAAATACATAAAATGCATGTTTCATGTGTTTTCAAAGTGAAGATTTATGATATACTTAATAAAATACTACTGAGAAGTACAAGTTCTAAGGGCTTATTGCCTTCACTGTGACAACATGCAAGGCCAAAGTCTGACCTTACTGAAGCCAATGGCCAGATAATTCTTAAAAAACAGAATTATGAATATAGCTGGCATTACACAGACATATAAGTAGACACCCAGTTTCAGGACACTGGTGAGCTGTGCTGTGTATGCAGGCAGCATGAGCAAATTTCCATGTTTGTTTCCAAGAAAGGAGCCACAAAAATTCTCTTGCAACAGTGAAAATATTTTTACATTATCTAGAAATCACAAAATGTTTTTAAATTTTCTAAATAAATTTACTTCTTGGTACAATTTAGGCATAACCATTTCATGATAATTTGCCATGGGCCCAAAGTATAAAAAAAGGGCGAATCTCTATATAGTACAGGTCAATGGCAGGATTCCTTTTGACTTCAGTCAGGCCAGATTTTCATTATAAGGTTTTTGTTTCAAGAATGTTAGATGACCCTGACCATTTTATTATGCAAAATTAGAATCCCACTTTAGATTTTCATTGTGTAACATGCGCTTCTGAGTAACATGCCTGGAGAGGACACTCATTAAAGAATACACTAATGTCAGTGAAATGTTCAGTGCAGTGCAGTATTCTTTAGCTTTTCCTTACTTCCCCAAATTACCTTCAGGATACTTGTCAAAAAGACAGACGAGCCCATAAGGATAAAAATCATGAGCCCAGTGACTCTTTGCTCACGGATTCCAAGAAATTTTGGCTGCTCCCCTGGAGCAGAGCACTCTGATTCCAGTTTTAAGCTATTCACATGGGAAATAGAGAGGACAGTAGCTGCAACAAACCACGGCAATCCCATAATAGAGCACACTCCAAGCATGACTGCCACCATGAGTAGGTCGAGATGGTATCCACATCCTTTCTGTTAAGAAAAGTAATGACAACAAGAAGATGTAAAATGGTATACGAATAGAGGAGAACACTCCTCGTAGGCATTCCTAATGAACAGTTAGAGACAGTTAAAAGATTTGTGAGTTGTAGCAAAAATAGCTTTATGTGTTATCCAGGTTGGGGCAGTAGTGATGGCAAACTGGTTATCTAAGGGGAATTACTGCTAGCTCACAAGAAATGCTTTATGTTATTAGACTCATTCCAGTTACAAGTTAAGTGCATATATTATAACTCCACTTTACAATGGGCACCAAATACCTTTCCTGCTTATAAAACAGATACTAGGAAGACAACAGAAAGATACATATTTTCTGTTTTAACTCAATCTCTTTTGTAGATAACAGTAAGCAGAACATTCAGCCACACTGCCAACTTGCTGCTGCACTAATCTTAATAGAAACTCCATCCATCATTACACAGGTCAAAAAAATATGTATTTTGATTCTTTTCTACACAAAAATCCTTTACTTAATGTTTCCAAAGTCAGTTTATTCTATAAAGAGCCATAAAATCACATAAGTTCTTTTAAAGTTTTTATACATGGTAAGCACATGACAGTACTAATGCACTTTCATGTTCTCTAAGAGCAGATAGCTGTAAATTAAAAGAAATTAAACTATAATTAAGCTTTACATTAAACAACAAATTAATATTCATCATCAGGCACCGTTTTACTAGTTTCTCTAATCAATACTTACAAGTTGTATCAAACGTTCACATGAGAAGTCAGCACAAAACCTTTGGGTTTGGATCATCTCTGTAGTAGTCAAATACTCTATACATTTACCAACAGGATGATGTTGCTTTGCTTTTATAGTAGGGGATAAAACCCTTTGGTAAAACCTTAAGATACATTCATAAACCTGCAAGTACAACCTGTGCTTGAAAATGACCAATGATATGCATCAAGCTTGGTTGTACAGATACCTGTTACCATAGCTGAGGGATATTTCTTTTCAATTTTAGGAAGTATTCAGGACCCACAGAGCTGCAAGCAGGCACTCAAGCTATCTTCCTTTAAAAAGTCAGGTAGGTAGTTATCTCCACCAAATTTCACAATATGGCAACAAATCCAGTGTCATGGTCTGATGAAACAGTGATGTTCATGCAAACAATGTGAACATGTTGAACCATAATTCTGCCTGTAAACCCATGCAAATGCCTTTTGACATAAAAAAAGTAACTAAACTAAACTTGGAAGGGTTTGCTACAGAGACTGCCAAAAGCTGAAATGTGCACTATTCAGAATTTGCTATGGGAAGTATAAAAAAAGAGGGGAAAACGAGCTGGAAGCAAACAAATCATTTCTTTCTGAAGACAACTTTTACTTCTAAAATGGGAAGCGTCTGGGTTTATGAAAATGTAAGCCACATATCAAAATGAAAATGCCATCTTATTTGCTTACATTACTTAAAAAGGGGAATTCATGTAAAGAAAACGAAAAGAATAAACTCCAGCAACCTTCCCTCACTCCCCAAAAGTGCTTTTGAGTCTTATCTCCATGACACATCCTGACAAACTCTGTGATCTGTCAAACACAGATATTAGTTTCATGCACAATGCACTCAAAGAAAGAGTTTAATTCTAAATCCTAACAGAGACACCTTTTTTTACCTTCTGACACATTTATGAGGAATGTATCTGCTAATGCATACAGAATCCGAGAGCATTTCCTCACATTCATACATGATCTGAGGAACCTGACATATGGGAAGAAAAGGAAGCATAGCAACAGGTGATGCTACACCAGACCCCAGCAAAACTAAAACGCAGCAAGACAAGGGGGCAGCCAGGAGGACCATCTGACTCCCAGATGCCAGTGCTGAAAAAACGCATTCCAAAGCTTGGCAGCAAATTCCTGCATCTGTCAAGTTAACCACATGCAATGCTATGGATTGACATGAAGAGCCAGGCTGACAAAGAGGGCAAAAAAAGAACATATCAAATGTCACAATCATCCAAGAAGAGGCAGTGCAAAGTGAAGGTTGCAAATGCATTTGCTTAAAGCAACTTGGGATTGGATTGCTGCTTATTAAAAGTATGTCAAAAAAAGCCTAAGCTCACTGCATATACATGTACAGAAACCTGCTGCTAGATTTTGCCCAACAGTTTTTCAGAGGGGTGATGTCCCTTTTTCTCTCTCCATCTGTAGGCAACTAAAGTGTTAGAGAACAGAGCAGGATGTTGTCCTATGTTTTAAGAACCCATTGTGCCTCTAAAGCTCACTTTTATTCTTCTCCCTTTTTTAACGTAGGAAGGGCACAGAAGAAACTGGACTGGTAGAAACAACAGGGAAGGACGAAGAGAGGAGAGAAGATAATTTTGTATCACAACATAACCCCTGAATAGTTTTTCAAAATACAATCCAGTGGAACAAGTCAATACCTGAAAAGGCAATTAATATTATGGCACATAAGGAAATTATTAACTTCCAGATTCTTTTAATCTAGGTGAAGGGGTATCATACTCTATTAAAGCATAAAGGATAGCACTTTCTTGGTTCAGAATCTAAATTACATTCATAGGGACTTCTGTAAGGCAGCAAATCACTGACACGGGGCACAGGTACTACATGCACCAACAGATAAAAAGCACAACTTGAAAAGGTACTATATAGCATAAATAAACCAGCATACTCAAGTAGATGAAGGCACATTACATAACCCGGAGTAGAAAGCAACAGCAAAAATACAACTTTTGACTGAATACCTTCAGTTTGTGTTCTTTTCTATTGATAATGACAGCTGTGATCTGCTGGTCCATAAAGATAAGGATAGTGCAAAGTAGGGCTGGAATTACAGCAGCTATCACTGTCCACCAAGGATTAGGCCCCAAAGGAGTGATAAACCAGCCACGATCATCTCTGGTGGGCTATAAAAACAGTCATGCATGACCAGTCAGAACTCTCTGAATTATTTACATTCAAGCTTCACAAGAGTACACACAAGAACATTACTAGGATATGACTTCCTTTAAAATCAATCTATGTAAGAGCACAGAAAAATGCTAAACTTTCTAGGATACCAAACAGAGAAGTTATACAATAAAGTCAAAACAGATTTAGTTGGTTTTGATACAATAAGCCCAGCATTTGGAAGGAGATCCAGAACATTACATCAGTTTACAATTTGGGTAATTTGAGCCATGTTGGTTCTCACATAGAAGACACCGGGAAGCACAAAAAGGCCTGATGGGAGACATTCACTTATGTAGGCCTCTAAACAGAAAGGTTGCATAGTACTTGGTGAATAGTATCACTACTCCCTGATGATAAAAAAATCTAATAAACCCACTATAGCCCAGTACTTTGTCAACATAACAATTCTTTTATTGTCTATCAATTACCTTAAAAGCATTCGGAACTTGAAGTTTTGGTGACGGAATCCCAATGGCATAGTCAATTAAAACCATGGACAAAATAGTGAGAAAAACAGCAAAATCGCTGACAACGGATCGTACCTATGGTTATTGAGAGAAACAGCAATTTTAACTAAAACATTCATATGTGATTTAGGATTTCTTTTTCTTCATTGCTTTAAGCCATTTTGTGCTTATAGCTAAAACCACACTTATTCTGATAGAATTTCTAACAGTAAAAGATGTGGTGTCCACTTCACCAGCAGTTAACTGAATTTGCAATGCATATGGGAATTAATGCTTACACACGACTAACAACAACCTCTGAATCCAAAAAATGGCACACACCTTTGTTGGGAAGTATCGGCTAGTTTTGAACTGCTTCAGTGTGGATGACAGCGTTACTGTAGAAAAGAATAAGATGACAGACCAGAAGAGGACATCTGGAACATAAGGGCCATGATGTCCACAGGCTCGTCCAACAAACTCTCCATGAAACTTTTTACATTCCTATCAGAGAGAGCAAAGTAGTACTGTTCTGAAAAACACCCATGCTTACACTGATAGTTTCTTTCCTATTACACACCTAAATTACAGGCAGACTTTATTACTAGGAATACTATTTTAGATATTCATTGTTTTAAAAATTAAAACTAATGTTTGTATCTACTCTGCATGGAAAATTCTCAAGCCCTCAAAAGAATCTCTTTTTTAACCAGTAGTAAATGATGACACCACTAAAACGTATCATAATGTCATTAAAAACCAAATATAATAATATAAAACCAGATTTATTTCAGACACACAATACACCTTTATTTGCTGTTTGCAACCACAGACTTGCACTTCTACGATTCTTTCTAAGAGAGGAAAGCAAAGCTCAAAAGCTACCAAGAGGAAGGCTCCTCCTGGTGCATTCTCAAGAACTGAGTTTTAGTTTTAACTTCACAGGCCAAGCAGTTAAAGAAAAAGGTTCTTAGAATGTACAGTATTAGGCTACAAGACGACCAATACATTTAATACCACACGGGGGCAGCACATTCCACAAATTATCTTTAAAAGCAGCATTCTGATAAAATGCAGCAAAACATTCATTCTATCCAATATACTATCAAATACAGTAGAATACATGTCTAGAAAAACTCCAATACCATCCTTAGTTGTCTAAAATCACACCTGCTCCAAGTTAACAAGCAGAAGAATTAAGAGTATTTGCAATCCTTCCCAAATCCTTCCATACCTATTATTAAGCAAAAAGAAATGCAGCACCCAGAACTAGAGATTCCACGCAGCTATCTCCTGCCAGATAAGGATCTTTTAGTAACAAATAAACTAGGTCATTGGCTCATCATACTCATGTCACAATACTGTGGCTTGACATGTTATGAGAAATCTGGGCTTTGAACAAAGGCTGGCTTGAAAACAACGGTTAATAGATTTGATGACTGTAAAACAAAGGAGTGCAAAACTTTTTATACTGGTATAGCAATAAACCTGGGATAAACATGATGCACTTCTGATTGATGAAATAAAGGTTTCAGGTGGGGAAACATTTTTCAGGAAATTCAGAAGAAATTCTCAAGATTCTGGGGCATCAAATAGAAAACTTGGCCTGGCCTGAGCTAGACCTTGATGCTGGCACAGCACAGAAATGAGAAGATTTTGCAACCATCGGTGTAAAGACTTTGGCCACACTCATTTTTGTCCTACAGAGAGAAAAAAAACCTGTTGATGCTGCTGTTCTTTTTAAAGAGAGAGTGCCAATCTGTATCCTCAAAAGCTTGAAACAAATCTGACACAAGAGGAAGAAATGAGTTGTAAAAAAGACAATGGGGGAAAACTGACCAAATATTTACAGACAAGTAGGTCTAATCTTTAACTGCAATTCTCCAGAACAGGAGAACTGAAGTTTCCTGACGATGCTTACAAGAAATAAATACACGAAAGTGCGAAAAATTTCAGTTCTTTCTTTAACAACCATAGGGACTCATGGGAAAAGCCAGTCAGTTATACTGCTACACGTGTAAACTGAAGTTTCAGTAATAAGCTTTTACAGAAGTTTTACAGGGTTTTATATAATGCAGCCGGTCTTTTACATTTATAGTTAAAACAAAATCTGTTATTTTAGATTTCCTCAGATGCAAATGTACTCTGAAAAACAGTCAGAGATCTGAGAAAGTGAGAGGAGGAGTCTGCCCCTGCACAGATGCTCTTAGAGTGTGCTGCAATTTTGAGAATATTCATTCTGGACTGCTGGAATCTCTCAGGCCAGCAGTTCTCAACTTTCTCTCTGCTGTTGCCACACCAACAGAGTTGAGGAGCAGTCCTTGCTATCAACACAGGGCAGCCATGGAAGGCTCCTCTTGCTTAACTCCTGATTGGAGGATACCAGTTCTTCTGCATTCCTACCTTTGCAAGAAAAAAAAAAAGCATGTGATGGAGACAGTCCATTGGACTGGCTTTTAAGTGTTTCATTTGGTTATGCCTACAATGAGGTTAATACAGACACATTTTTGCAAGAAGACTTCAATTCGGTGTCTTTTGCTCAATTCCCTTTGGCTGTGTAATGAAATGATATATCTGTGAGGGAAAGAATCAATGCAGTATTTTAATCAAGTTGCATATATTGCTTTAAGGAAGGCAAACCTGAAGTAATAGATCTTTTAAACCTAGAATGCACCATTTTGAAACAGGCTGCATATCAATGCAAGCACCCCAAACTGTCCATAGCTTGGCTCTTCCCCACCCTCCCTGTTCCCCACAAAAAAAAACCATGACACAACTGACACAGCTAACACTGAAGGTCTATTTAAGAGATAAAATTTGCTCACTTAACAGAAATCGTTACAAAATTCCTTCTCCTACTCTCCTTTATAGCCCATCCAGCTGTAAGAACGTTTTAGAGGATGTAAACGCATCTGAGTATTTCTACTCAAAGAGCTTTGGTTTTGTCATCTGGCAGAATTTAGGACAAATCCATTGTCATTTTACATGTTTAGATGTAATCCTAGTCAAACTCTTGTGCTAGTGCTTCAAGAAGTTTCCAAAGCAGGGCACAAAATCCACAATACTTGCTCTAATGTGCACCATCAAGGGCTGCAAAATGCTTACAATGAGATCGTGTTACAAACTCTGTTAATCTTTGTTCAATTAAATATATTTTATGTTTTAATTCAACAAATATGATCAGAAAAAGTTTGGGTTTTTTTTTTTTTAATATTTGCTGCTGTAGGAGAGACAAAATTATTTACGCTTATGCCTTTATTTATTAAGTCTCAATATTTCACTTACTGACACAGTTAGGTTCCCCCATGGCACATCGGATGCAGATATATTGTAGTCCTGCCAGTATCGTAAGGTTTTATTGCTAGGATGTTCTGGTTCCACACAATTGCATCTGAAAAGACAAAGTAATATTTTTTCTTTAGTAATAGAAAAAAAAACAACTATCAGATATTAATCCAAATTATCAACTTTATGCCATATTGAAATTGTGCTCTGCTTTGCCAGATAATCTGAGTTCAAAAGAATTCAGGAAACGCATGCTTTGAAGCAGTTTGTAGCTTAGTAGCTGTGCTATTACTAGAGTATAATTTGCCGTGAGGTGCATATGCATATATAGTACGTAACGTGACATATTTAAACTACTGTCCACAGCAAGTTTTTCCACATATTTTCCTCCTGTTCTATTGATACCTCCAGGCACAGTTTGTAATACTGAGAAAGTGCCAGCCCTGTTCCACCCCCTTATACCTAACACTCCTCTACTACATGGGACATATTTCTCAAAAGCAAACCGCCCATATCTTCCTTTCTCTTTAGCAGAGAACTTTTGCATGCAAAACTGCCAAACTGCCCAGTCAACCATCTCTGCAAGATCACCAGCACCAAAGGTGTCCATTGTTTTTTCTTCCCCCACAGCTGCTTTAAAAGCATGCTTTTCATTCTGTATTGCGTATTTTAGCATACAAAACGTGATGAGGCAGTGTGGGAGGACAATACTGCAAACACGCAATTTGAAATCAAACTTAAGTCTTTAAAGCCTCTGAAGCAACTGTGGGAAGTTTTTTGTTTAACAAAGCCTTTAAAATATGCAGGATACTCAATAGGTTCCAACATATCAAGTGTGTTTTGCAGTTCTCTTTAATACCACTTTAAAATTTATAGTACTATCTATCCTGCCAGCATTTTAATGTGCTTAGGATGGCTGTAAATAAACTCTGTACTCTCTGATAAAGTCTTCAGGAGCAGCTGGGGACAGGACAACATCTGACTATGAAGTGGAGATCCAGTAAGCATGTATTTGCATTCCAGCCGAGAAGGCTATCAGTTTCTTCACTTAGCCATGCCATCTATTTTCTACGTGGCTGTTTATATTTCCACAAAAGGACAATTCTCATCTGTTTTGTAGTATTTTTTATGTAAGAAATTCTACCATCTATATTATGAGTACAGAACAGTGCCACTGTATTTTGATTACAATACTATACATGTGACAACAGCTGCATTTATTATATACGTAGAGAGAGATGCAGGTTGTCTTTGTGTAGCTCCTTGCTTTTGTTTTAAATGCAGCTATTTACAAAAGAAAAAACCCTTACAGCCCATCATCAAAAAGCAATTAAAAAATAAAATAAAATGAAGCAACAGCATTCAGAGAAACAGTGGGCCTGAGCCAAAAGTCCTTAAAGTGGACTGATCTTTCAAATGTATTTAATGTTTTGGATCAGGCCCCAGGTGCAGAACGAATGTGTGCTCAATGCATAGTTTAAAATATTACAGAATGGATCAAAGGAAGCGCATCACAACTAGTGAGCTACAGTAACGTAATAAAGTCAACAGTATGTCTATGTCATTGCAAGGGAGTATTTGATGTTCATGCAACAATACAGAGGTGGCTGTTTCAGGTTACTACTGTTTCCTGTGAGCACAGGAGCTCCCTGCCCCCTGATGTCCATCGCTGGTCGCAGACTGGCCCGACGCTAGGCGATGGCCCATTGGGGTTTGATTACAGTAGGCCAAGGTGACGTGGGCTGTTCAATCACAGTCACTTTCTCACTAGAAGGGAAGACTGTGCATGTCACCAACACTATATGGTACAGCTATACTTACTGCAAATGGCAAAGCTACATTTAAAAGTTAAAGGAGTCAAATTTTCTATTTCCTTATTCAGAAACCTGACAATTGAAGCTATAGTTTAATACAGCTCAAGTAATTTACCTTCAAATGAGATCATCACCCCGTTTATTTCTGTATCAATACCACTTTCCTCCTTCACAGCATTCCAGTCTAGCCTTTAACAAATTTCACAGGCATTTACCAATGGCAGATTGCTCATCAGCAATAAGTGACTTGTGCAAACTCCAATCATGCAAGCCAAAATCACCCACATCCGAGCACAGAATTAGGCCCTAACTGTAAAAATCAGATCCCGCCTTCTACTGAGAAGATAATTCAAACAATGACCTTGGTGGTTTTAAACATATATACAAATATATATATATTACATTGTTTTCAGTATTATGCATCCTTTGGCAACACTGACCTTTTGATGTGAGATTGCACCATGGTATAACTGTTTTCCAGCCTCACACTAAACATTTAACTTTACAGAAAAGTGAAATAGTAAGAAATTCCCTATCAAGCCCCAAAACAACACAATTGGAGGTACCATATGGTGCCAGAACGTAAAAGATTATCTACCAAAATGTGACATTTCATAACAGATGTAACTGCTTTAATGATGGCTACTTCCCAACACAACTGACCTGTAAGGAGAAACTCACATTAGTGAAATAAACTTTCTACTTTAATCTTTTAAAACTTTGATTCTCTTTCATTGTCATTTTTTACTCTGAGAGGTCAGCTCTCAGGAGAAATGGTAAGCTAGGCTGAACTGTTAACCACTAACACATCTTTCTACTTTCTTGACAAAATATTACTCAGAAGGCTGGAATAAAAAAAACCCAACAGATTTCCTCTTAGAGATTCAAATGCTCTTAAGTTCTTGTAAAGTTGTTTAAAAGTGCTGAGCACTTGCCCACTACAAGATATATGTGGAGTTTATGCTATTATCAATGAGCATATATATACCTGTAAGTATATTTTCTAAGCAACATATTCAGCTCCAAATACAGTACCAAGTATTCTATAGTGAAAAAAAAGTCTCTGCTACCAATCTTGCAATACACTCATTTATCACACTGATGACAGAACAATTCTTTTTGCATCTTTACATTCTTGGCTACTGCAAGACATTCTGATCTCCTGGGAGTAATTCAGATATGTAAACATGGGCACCTATATACCCCATGGTATCTGTGACATCCATGATCAGCTGGCACATATATATGAGAGCACCTATGGTGACTCATGCTTTTGCTTTCAAGCAGATGAAGGCTGAAATCTAAAATGGCACTAGTTGCCCAGACACATGTCACTCTCTACTGCATTTTAAATGTCCATATTCTGTAACTAGGCAGAAATCAGTGGAGCTTGATTTCTTCTAGGGTGTTTAAATATCTAATACAGCCTATTACAAAACAGCCTACAAATCCGAGGTATGAACCAATTCAGACAAGACCTACTTCAGGAAACTGCAGGAAAAATGCCACAAGATTAGAACTGACAAAAGGATAAAGTAAGAAAAATAATGGCCTGAACCTGCTAGCTAGAAAAGTAACTACAGCAAGGACTCTTTATTGCCATTACATCTTCCAAGATGCTCAAGAAGTGTCTGGCAAATCAAGATGGGGTACAAACGTAGATTAGAAATAATACACTTTAGGACTGGCCGACAATCTGGTATCATATAGAGTTTGTACCACTCTCCCTTTTACAAGAGGATGATGAGCTAAATCTTCAACACCAATTCAACTGTAACAATATAGGCAGTACAGGTCACTGATGGCACAACCCTTCCCTTCTTAGTCCTTTCGAGCTCCCCAAGTTTTTCCTAGCTCTTTTTCCTTTTGTTTCATAAGTCTTAATTTGATAAATTAACTTGAGGCAGCCATCACAACTTCAGTGTGCAACATTTCCTACAACTTGTCCTGTTTTCAAAGAACAGAGCTAGGATCTGACAAGAACAACTTTGGGACATCTCAGACAACTAGCAGTGTTCTTTGTTCTGCAAAAGGAATAGATATGGCTGTCCTTAATGGCACTAAAAAGAGTGTATGATCCCTCTTTCTATGGACAATCACAGAATCGTAGAATCAACTAGGTTGGAAAAGACCTTTAAGATCGTCAAGTCCAACCATTAAATGGGAAAGGGAATATAGGTTAATAAAATAGGAACTTTTTAGATGCAAAGCCAGTGAGTGTTTCCCTCCTCCTTCATAGATTAGCAATAAAAGATAAACATCACTGTTGCACAGCTAGTCAGGTGAAAGGTTCTGCAATAAAAACACTTTCAACTTGACTGCAACTTTCTGTTTACTATAAAAGAAGAAACTTATTCCCTATACCTATTTGTTCACCTGAATTTAACCTGAGTGCTGGGGGAATCCTTCAGATTTCCACATCTTACCCCTAGTTCTTCAGGCATGTTCTTCACCATTTTCTCTCTTCAACCTGTCACGTGCACTCTCCTCCCCATACAGACCTTAAACATGTAGCATGGTGCTAGTCCATTCTGCTGCCATTACAGCCAGTAAAAGAGTTTTGAACAAGAACCCTGTACATTGGTTTTGTGAGTAAATAAAACACACATAAATGATGCAGCTTCTCCAAAAGCCTCATGGCCATTCATCCTTAGGCTTTTGCTATTTTTCAGTGTGCTGTTATCAAGACTGGAAGGCACTTATTATTGATGATTTTTACTCAATTCATAAGGCACTGCTTTGGAGCTCCTATTTTTCCAGCACGTGCATACTTCAAGCTACACCGATTTATACTAAGGACCAGATCTATAGAAGATGCAACTGCAGCTTCTTCATCATTAGTCAAAATACCATTTACCCTTCCTAGAAGGGCAAAATCTCTTTTTGGCTCACTTAAAGTAGAGAATGAGATTTGCTCAATATGAATATTTATCTTATTTAATAAAAAAAAAAAACAACAACAGGTAAGTATGACAAATGAGTTACAAAACGTGCTGGTTTAAACAATCTCTTACTGAATACCAAAGCACATATTTGGTACTATGAGTAGGAAGTTTTTCCCCTAAAACACAGGGTATGCTCTACAAGTATTCTATGCACTGATCACAGACAGAATAATAAGATGGTATGAAATGGAAGGTAGCATCACTAACTTTGTTTCTAAAGTAAGGTATAAGAATATATGAATGACTATTCTTATAACTGCATTTATAAGGCTGAAGGAAAATACATCAATAGCAGAATGCTATGCATGCTTCGATTGTCTCCAAATACACCATTCTTCATGTGAATT